GTCACAGAGCTAGCCAGTGACATATGCTAGATCTAAGCCCAAGTCTGACTCTAAAATTCTGCTTTCTTTATTTAGTTTTTCTGCCATGCAAGGTTTACTGCCAGCTCCTCCAGGAACTTCTGAGTAAGCCTGCCCCCCAATGGCCGAAAGACCTGGAACTGAGAGCACTCACATTCTTTTATAACAAGTATGACATTTTCAGCCCATCTCACAAATAGTAGTGTCCCCAAACCACATTGGTTTGGAGTATTGCTAACTATGCTATCAACTAGAGCCCTGAATTCCATCTTTCTCAAAGTCTCGGATGCTTCATTTTATAGACTCCAGAAAGGTTTGCAGTAACTTCATCCCTTAGACTGCACCCCAACAACTGGTAGCCAAAGCCCCCATGTGGTGAGCAAGGCAAGGCATCTTAATGCAGTGGGATGGGATAGACTTTGATCGGGTGACATTTACAGCTTGGACAAGAACAAGCATCCATCTAGCCCAGCAGATGGTCCTTGTGGAAAATGCCTGGTCTATGTCCTGTTATTCTAAACCCCAGTCCCAGCCAGATAGACCTCCCTGCTGCATCAAGACAATATGCTCTGCTAGGAAGGAGAGCCTAAGGGCTGGAAACAAGGACAGCAGCAAACTGAGGACTTATGTGATTCCTTTGCAGAGCTTTCCATCCAGGTGTCATGCAGAATTATGGGGATCACCCTTGTGAGCAAAAAAGCAAACCCGCAGCTGAATTTCGCAGAAGCTAAGGAGGCCTGTAGGCTGCTGGGACTAACTTTGGCCAGCAAAGATCAAGTTGAAACAGCCTGGAAGGCTAGCTTTGAGACTTGCAGGTGAGAAACAGCTGGTTTCACTGTCGCTGCTGGAGTTCTTTTTTAGCTCTGTGTTCTTATTCAGCAATAGAGATGATGCCTTCTAATCATTTTTCTGTTCAACTAGTGTGTATTCTTTTACAGCTATGGCTGGATTGGAGATGGATTCGTGGTCATCTCTAGGATTAACCCAAACCCCAAGTGTGGGAAAAATGGGGTGGGTGTCCTGATTTGGAAAGTTGCGGTGAACCGACAGTTTGCAGCCTATTGTTACAACTCATCTGGTGAGTCTGATCTGCAGCCTTTCCATGTGGCATTCTCTGGGTATCTCTCAATCTGAGACCTGTCTGGAAAGAGTAACCCTGAGCAGTAGCAGAAGCAATCACAGCCACGGTCATCTGATTCTCCCAAAACTGTCTCTCTGGCCAGGCTAGGGGTGGCAATATGCCCCTCAGAGGAAAAAGTTAGGAGAAATGTGACTGAATAGCAACACAGGAGAAGACATTCAGGAGGCTCAATTACCACTGCCGCCATCCCTGCATCCTATAAGATAAGCAGGCAGAAGGGAAGGAAACAAAGGTACAGATGATATGTAATGCATCCATTATGGACAAAGCAATGCACGGTCGTCCCTCAGTGTCAGTGAGGGATTGGTTCCGGCACCTCATCATATACAAAAATCCACAGGTGCCCAAGTCCCTGATATAAAGTGGGATTATATTTGCATATAACCTACACATATCCTCCTGTACACTTTAAATCATCTCTAAGCTACTTACAATACCTAATACAATGTAGATGCTATATAGTCACTGTACTGTATTATTTGCTTTTTTATCGTTGTATTGTTATTTTTTTTTTCCAAATATATTCAATCCAAGGTTGGTTGATTCCGCCTACATGGAACCTACAGATCCATAGGGCTTACTGTACTAGGATCTCTCACTGAACCTTGACAACTTCCCTGTGAGGTATGCTTTATCACCCCCATTTTGCAGATAAAGAAACCGAGTTCAGGCCGGGCATGGTGGCTCACGCCTGTAATCCCAGCACTTTGGGAGGCCAAGGCAGGCAGATCACGAGGTCAGGAGATTGAGACCATGCTGGTTAACACAGTGAAACCCCGTCTCTACTAAAAATACATAAAATTGTAGTCCCAGCTACTCGGGAGACTGAGGCAGGAGAATGGCATGAACCCGGGAGGCAGAGCTTGCAGTGAGCCGGGATCAAGCCACTGCACTCCAGCCTGGGTGACAGAGTGAGACTCTGTCTCAAAAAAAAAAAAGAAAGAAAAAAGAAAGAAAGAAAAAAAAAACCGAGTTCAAAGGATTTAAGTGCATTTGTCTAAGGTCTCATTACTGTAAAGGTTCAGACTCAGGTCTAACTCAAACCACGTTCTTTCTACTGTTCAACATTCCTTTATAATTTTAAGAACCAGACCCAGTCTCCATTTTATGAAGGAAGAAATTGACACCTAGAGGGTAGCACTGATTTGTTCGTGGTCATGAAGTCACCCACTAACTTTGCTTGAAGACCTTGGCTGCCTTAGCCCAAGTGCTTCACCTAAGCACTTCTCAGAAAGTTTTTCTTTTAATAAATACTCACTTGTTCTCAGTTTGTCATAAGGACCCCTGTCTGGTTATTACTCTTCACACATACTCATCTATCTGACCTTGTGAAGGTTAGGTGGCTGAGAGGTCATACGCAGGATAGATTTCAAAATCATTCTCTAAGATCCCAGAGATAAATGTGCACCAGCCAATATTAGCAAAAGCTGTCCCAGAAAGGCAATATAGGATCCAAGTAGTTCCCTGATCCGGAGGGCTTTGGCACAGAAAAGGCCCATGGAGAAACTTTGACCAGTTCCCTCACTTCATGGATGAAACAACTACAATTCAGAACAGGGATTTAGCTTGTTCAAGGTCCTACAGTCAGTTAGTGGCAGAATCAAGACTGGAACATAGGGCTTTTCCTAACATTGTATTTGCCATCCTCCTTCCCTTCTCTGCATCTTTGGTCTCTCATCACTGACTGGGGAATTGGTAAGCTACATGCCTGCATACCTCATACCAGCCCATGCCTGTCAAATGACTTTGCTTTTTAACTGCCTTCCTGCCAGCCCGCAATGTGATGATACCCAGCCCTCTGACTAAACAGAGAAGAGCCAGAGAAAGAGGACTTAGATTTGTCTATTTCCTCATGGTTTCATTTAACTTGTACTCCTATCCCATGTATTTCTTTTTTTCTTCCAGAGATTATTTTCTTTTATTATTTTATTTTTATTATACTTTAAGTTCTGGGATACATGTGCAGAACGTGCAGGTTTGTTACATGGGTATACATGCGCCATGGTGATTTGCCGCACCTATCAACCCACCACCTACATTAGGTATTTCTTCTAATGCTATCCCTCCGCTAGCCCCCCTACCCCCCAACAGGCCCCAGTGTCTGATGTTCCCCTTCCTGTGCCCATATGTTCTCATTGTTCAACTCCCACTTATGAGTGAAAATATGTGATGTTTGGTTTTCTGTTCCTGTGTTAGTTTGCTGAGAATGATGGTTTCCAGCGTCATCCATGTCCCTGCAAAGGACATGAACTCATTCTTTTTTATGGCTGCATAGTATTCCATGGTGTATATGTGCCACATTTTCTGTGTATTTCTTATGCTGAAAGTTAAGTCTAGAGGCTTGATTAGGCTCATATTCAATATTTTTGGCAAAAGTACTTCATAGATGATATTATGTATTTTGGATCACATCACAACAAAAGACACTTAATGTCAGTATTTCCCACTACTAATTATGCTAACTTTGATTACTTGATTAAAGTGGCAACCGCCCTATCTCGCTTATGAAACTGTAACACTATATCTTTCCCTTTGCAATTAGTGGGTGATCTACAATGCGATATTTTGACACCATACAAATATCTTGATCTTCAACTACTTTTTACCTAGACATTTAAGCAGTCATCGATGATCCTTCTTGGAATCAGTTATTATATGGGGGACTGAAAATGGCGATTTTTCTAAATCTATCCTTCCTTTTACATTTATTAGTTGGCATCTTTGATGAAAAATCTTTCTCTGTCTCTCTCTCTCTCAAACACACACACACCTACACAGATGCACACACACCCTTTTTTCCTCCCTCTTACACTGTCATGGGCACATGCATTTTACTTATTCAATATGTTCAACGTCTTATAATCCATTTTACAATTATTATTCTTTTGTTTGTTTGGATGCTCAAATTGTCCTGAATCTGGCAAGTGGGAGCCCCTTCTAGTTGATTTGTGCGTCCTTTATCCCATTTGCTTTTAGGTAATTCCTGATTTCCCTACACAATACCATGTCCCAGGCTCACTTCATACTTTCTGTATCTCGGGCATGGAATCAGCTACTTATTTCTCCAAGGAGCCTTAGTTCCTTTTAAAGGGAAATGTTAATTAGAAACCAAGATTTGGATACAAGTTGTTCTCATTCCTCCTGGAGTTTTCATTGCTTTTCAGTCCTATCAGTGGACAGATAGACAATTTTATGTACATAAGTTTATATTGATAGTTCCAACTCAAATTTAACAATTCGAGTTCCTTGTTAGTCTACTTTGTTTTATGTTTGTATCTCTTATAATGAAAATATTAATTCACAATAAATAATATTAATATATTTTCTTATCCTACAAGTTTCAAACTTACAAAACCAGCATTAGGAATAATAACCTACTAAGTAAAATTAAGACTTCTTTGCCAATCTTTTAGTCCTTAGAAGATATTCCTCTAAGGATGTACAGTCAGTGAATTGTGTATACGAGTGACTTTAAAAATTTGCTACTCTGTGTAGTTATATTATCATTTTGAAATAACTGAGGTTCATTCGCTTCTCTTTGTAATCAATTTTAGGGTTTGACTTTTGTCCTATTTTTATTTTTTGAATAACTAAACTATTTACGTGGTTCAATGATCCAAAATGCACTTTTTAAAAACTGTATTCAAAGAAGTCTTATTCTCATGCCTTCCACAGTTTCCACCTACCACTTTCATTCATTTCTGGTTTATTCCTCTGTGTTGCTTTGTGTATAAAGGAGTGTGTTTGTATGTGGTCTTGTTGCCCTTTCTTACAAAAACTAGCATACTATATACACCACTTTGCACCTAACTGTTTCCACTCAAGTCTTAGAAATTACTCCATGTTGGTTCCTACAGACTTGTCTCTTTTATTAATGACTGCATAGTACTCCATTGGGTGGCTGTATCATAGTTTATTCAACCAGTCCTCTATTAATGAACTTTTGAGCTATTTCCAATCTTTTTCTAGTCAAAGTAATTCAAAGGTATGTAACCTTGAAAATATGTTGTTTCACATCTATGGAGATATATCATCAGGATAGAAACCTAGATGTTCAAAATGTGTGTGTGTGTGCACTCATGTGTGTGCATGTGTGTGTGTGTCCATTGACATCTTGGTGAAAATTAGAGTTCCCTAACCCTGATCCTAATGCTAATCCTGACCTTACCTTAATTTTCTTTGTTTTTGTAATTTCCTTTTTATTGCTATCTTGTGAGGTTTGAGGATCGGAGTAACCCTAAGCCTCCATATAAACCTTATCCTAATTGCCTTTCTTGTTGCTATCCTTGTGAGAATGGGGGATCAAACCCCACTCCTAGTCCTAACTTTATTTTTTTATTGCTGTTACTGTGAGGTCTGGGGATCAAAGCACTGTTAATGCTCTGCACACACCACTTGTGTAGTGCTGTTCCTGCTGCCACAATGCCCATCGTCTTCATCACCTGGCCAGCTCCTACTCTTCATTCACATATCAAGTGCCATCTTCTCCAGATGTATTTTCCATAACCCTCTCTCTCCCCTTGGGCTCCCACTTCACCCTGTGTTTAATATCTATCAGAGCACTCAGCACATTCTAGAGAAATTATTTGTAGTTTGGAGGGGAAGGAGAGCATCTCACTTCCAGGTGAGATACACTGTACTCTTAATCAGTTAGGGACCACCAATTGCTTTTACTCCTTCATACTGTGTCCTTCTCAGGCACATGTATGAACAGAGAGGTCAAGGAAACAAATTCTTGCAGATCTTACCATTACGCCCAGACATTATACTAGGCCCTAGACATTTACTCTCTCATTGATCCTCAGTAAAATGAAACCTATGAATCATTTCTACTTTCAGGAGCAGCAATTGATGCTTAGAGTGTACCTTTCTTGTGGTCATGGTCAATAAGGGGCAGAGCCAGGATTTAAATCTTGAGCTAAACTGTGTTGAGTCATGCTATTTCAGTGTAGCACCTTCCAGGATGATGACCACACATCAGTAATATACAAGGCCTGGGGTGAGTCCTGGACATCAGTAGTTTTTAGAAGCTTCTCAGGTGATTCTAACCTGCAGCCAAGGGTGGGAATCACCTCTCCGTAGAAGATCTCTAGGTTTTAGGAGTTCAGAAACTTCTGATTCTCCTATTTCGGTGGAATTGCAATAACCTCCTTCTTTGCTCCTGGACTATACCCTCTCTGCTCTGCATCTCATCCTCCACACACTTCCATTGATAATTATTTTACCGCTCTGCTCCATAGCCTCAGATAACCTCCCATTTTAGAATATGATGTAAATTGTGAAGCCTTTTGTACATGAAAGTGGATATATATGAGGACTTTTGTATATAATTTGGAAGATTTGTGAAACTCAGTTGAAAATTCCCTCTTCTACAAAATAAATTCCAAATTCTTTAACATAGCAATTATAAATCTTGATAGTCTGACTCCAATCTATCTTCCCAGTCTCATCTCTTGCTTGCAGTCTTTCATACCTCCATTTACACACACACACCCCCTACATTCCAGTCACACTGTGCTCATTGTCATTTTTCTAACATAACTACACATTAAAACTTCTGGATTCTCAGATTATGCTATTCCTATTGACTGGGATATCCTATTCCCTCTTCTATACTAGATGTGCTGCTTCTCTGTTTCAGTCATCCTGGCCTTCTTATTCATCAAATGGGCTCTTAAACTTTCTGTTCTCTTTCCTTTGAATGTTTCTGCCCCAGATCTTCAATGACGAACTACTTCTCATCATTCAGGACTCAGTGTAAATATTGCCTCCCCAAGAGACCTTCTCTTATCACCCTCTGTCCTCCATTATCCACCTCATCAGTCTAATTCATCTCCTGCTTAATTTTCCTTTCAACATTTATTATCCTCTGAAATTTCTGGCTTATTTATTACTATTTTTTATTATCTCTATCCTTCCAATAGCATGAATGACCCTTTGTCTTGTTTGCTCCATGTCCCTAGCACCTGGAACCATGCCTGGCACAGAGTAAGTGCTCCATAAGCATTTGTTGAATGAACACATTAATCCTCCATACTCTGCCCAAATGCCATGTCCTCTGACTCCCTAGTGATCTCCCCCTATCCTTATCAAAATGCATCCTCTGTTCTTCTGGAGGTGGGAGCAATGTCTTATATTTCTCTGTATTTTCAGTTATATTGAGCTCAGTATGTTTTTTGCCCCTGACACTCAAAAATGTTCATTTTCTGAAGGAAGGGCTTAGCATGTGCTAAAAATGAGAAATGTAGTTAACAGTTCCGGGAAGATAAGGCCAAGGATTATATGTATTTGAATGGAGGTCTTTTCAAAGTAAAATGAATAGTGTAAAAACAGTACACATGTGGTCAAAATGTTTTATCAATAGTATCATTATTTTGATTGGTATTTATTTTAATTTTCAAAAATGAATAACTTAATAGAATAATGATTTATTCATAGCAAACATTTCAGCTGATGCTACCCACTGCCATAAATAATTAGGGACTTAAAATAGATGCAAATTTATATTATAATATATTGTATGGCTCTGCCATTTACTAGCCATGTGACTTTGGGTGAGTTATTCAATTTCTCGAAACTTCAGTTCCCTCCTGTGTAAACAAAGGTTTGATAATATTGTTCAATGAGGTACCTGTTTAAACACTTACTGCCGTGATCAACTCAGATTAAGATGCTTTAACAAGTGTTTCCTCTCTAGCATATTCAACAGATTGGAAAGCAAACCCTTATCCCTCTCCTGGCCCCTTTTTGTTCACTTTTTTTTTAATGAGCCCAAAAATAATAAGTCTTAGCATATCTTTGTCCTGAAGTGACACCACATGTGTATATTTGGTCTTCCAATCTATACTTTCCTTCTTTTCCCTTTTCCTTCCTTCCCTATTCATCAAATAGTTATTGAGCCCGTTCTGTGTACCACACACAGTGCTCATACCATGATGACCGAGACAGATGGGGTTTCTGCTTCCAGCCCGCTTGCAGTCCAGTGGGGAACAGTGTAATGAGAACTGTGACAAGGAGGTACAAGAACATATGCCTAGGGACCCAATCAAGTCAACAAATCTGCCTGAGAAAAATAGAGGGTCAATCTGAGACCTGAGGGATGAGTCAGAGTAAGCTAAATAAAGAGAGGCAAAGAGTCATAAAGGTGAATAAAGCATCGTGGTGCAAGGCTTGGATGTAAGATAAAGCGTATCAAGGAATTTCAAGTAATTTCAGTATGGCAGGGGCAATGAGAGAAAAAGAGCAGATGAGGCTGGCATGTCAGCAGGGGCCAAATCACAGAAGGCCTTGTAGGCCATATAACAGAGATAGCCACTAAAGCTTCTAAGGATGGAAGTGATATGATTAGATGTGCTTTTTAAAGACCATTCCAGCTGCAGTATAAGGGATTTGGAGGTAGTAAGACTAGAGGCAGGAAGAACAGTTAGGAGGCTGTTGCAATACTTTTATTTCATGTTTCTCTCTCCCGACAGATACTTGGACTAACTCGTGCATTCCAGAAATTATCACCACCAAAGATCCCATATTCAACACTCAAAATGCAACACACACAACAGAATTTATTGTCAGTGACAGTACCTACTCGGTGGCGTCCCCTTACTCTACAGCACCTGCCCCTACTACTACTCCTGCTCCAGCTTCCACTTCTATTCCACGGAGAAAAAAATTGATTTGCATTACAGAAGTTTTTATGGAAACTAGCACCATGTCTACAGAAACTGAACCATTTGTTGAAAATAAAGCAGCATTCAAGAATGAAGCTGCTGGGTTTGGAGGTAAATGGTTTCTGTGTCTATGTTACATATATATGTATGTTCATGTATAACAGACAATTCATAGAATCCTGCCTGTCTCCAGATGAGGCACTCACGACCTGTCAAATACTAACAAAAGCTTAACACAAACTCAACTTTCATAGTCATAGAATCTGAGAGCTGTAAAGAACCTTAGTGATTAAGCTAAAAAGTATAAGTATAAAAGAATTCACTGTTGAAAACTCAAGACTTTTAAAAATAAATCACTATCTGTTCCTATGTAGAAGTTCTTTTTAAAATATATACCCTAAAGGCCTATGACTTTATTCCAGTCATCGCTTTCTCAGGCAGGCTTGTTGACTAGAGTAGGTCTCAAGGCCATGGAGGAGAAATGAACTCTGTCATATTGCAACTGATAGAATTGACAGAGTATGAGAGGCAAGGCCAATGATTCTACAAGCATGAAGCAAAGAAGCTGGTGTGGGCCCAACATCATAAAGGGCTACAGAGAAGGTTTTTCTCCTGCACTATCTACTGTCTCAATCACCTGGGTCATTCAATGAGCATTACACACAATGTTTAAGTGAAGGACCAACAGGCCATGTCTCTGTTCCTTGCAGGTGTCCCCACGGCTCTGCTAGTGCTTGCTCTCCTCTTTTTTGGTGCTGCAGCTGGTCTTGGATTTTGCTATGTCAAAAGGTAGGGTTGCTGGTGCACTGCTAGTCTTGTAATCTTTGTCAAGTTTCTATCCTGTGCTTTTTCAAGGTCGCTATTGGCATTTTGCTGATCAAAATGGAGATAGCAGTCCTCTCATACTGTAAATTTCTCTCTCATCTCATCTCTCTCCCTTCCGCCCAGTCTTTTCTATTTCAGCACATGCATGTCATCTAGCCATCAGTCAATGACTGTCCTTTGAAAATCAAGAAATAAAAAAAATTGACATCTGGGGAGAATGTATATGCTCTATTTGATTTTTGGTTCTTTGTTTTTATGGGAAGAATTATGTGGTCAGCCTAAAGTCTGGCCTGCAAACATATTTTCCCACTTAAATGAATCCATTAAGGTGGTGATGTGTTAATGTATTCGAGCATGCATGTGCTAGCATCACCCTGAAATAAAGGTATCCAGTGTACTGTGCCAATATGTACCATGACCAAAAAAGTGTTATCTATTATTATGTGTGTTACACAGTCTCTCACTTTTATTTCATGTTTATGCCTAAAGGTATGTGAAGGCCTTCCCTTTTACAAACAAGAATCAGCAGAAGGAAATGATTGAAACCAAAGTAGTAAAGGAGGAGAAGGCCGATGATATCAACCCTAATGAAGAATCAAAGAAAACGGATAACAACCCAGAAGAGCCCAAGAGTCCAAGCAAAACTACCGTGCGATGCCTGGAAGCTGAAGTTTAGATGAGACAGAAATGAGGAGACACACCTGAGGCTGGTTTCTTTCACCATCCTCACCCTGCCCCAGCTGAGGAAATCAAACGGGCCAAAGAATCAAAGAAGAAAGTCCACCCTTAGTTCCTTACTGGAATCAGCTCAGGACTGCCGTTGGACTATGGAGTGCACCAAAGAGAATGCCCTACTTCTTATTGCAACCCTGTCTGGATCCTATCCTCCTACCTTCAAAGCTTCCCACGGCCTTTCTAGCCTGGCTATGTCCTAATAATATCCCACTGGGAGAAAGGAGTTTTGCAAAGTGCAAGGACCTAAAACATCTCATCAGTATCCAGCGGTAAAAGGGCCTCCGGGCTGCTTGAGGCTAGGTGCGTTGAAAACCAAGGAGTCACTGAGACGAAGGCTTTCTCTACTGATTCCACAGCTGAGACCTTTTCTTCAGCTCTGAAGAGAAACACGTATCCCACCTGGCATGTCCTTCTGAGCCTGGTAAAAGCAAAAGAATGACAGAAAAGTTTAGGTCCTGAAGGCCAGGGAGATTCTCATAACTTGAGACCTAATGTCTGTAAAGCCAAAATAAAGAAAGAAATACAACAAGGCTGAGGAAACCGACAGAACACTGTCATCAGGGACTGTAAACACAGACAGGGTCAGAGTGTTCTTCTCTGAACACACGGAGTTGGAATCACTGTTTAGAATACACACACTTACTTTTTCTGGTCTCTACCACTGCTGATACTTTCTCTAGGAAATATACTTTTATAAGTAACAAAAATAAAAACATAAATTTCTATTTTTATCTGAGTTACAGAAATGATTACTGAGGGAAATTACTCAGTAATTTGTTTAAAACGTAATAAAATTCAACAAACGTTTGCTGAATAGCTACTATATGTCAAGTGCTGTGCAAGGTATTACACTCTGTAATTGAATATTATTCATCAAAAACTTGCATATAGTAGAATGCTATCTGGGAAGCTATTTTTTTTTTCAGTTTCGATATCCCTAGCTTATCTACTTCCAAACTAATTTTTACTTTTGCTGAGGCTAATCTTATTCATTTTCTCTAATATGGCAACCATTATAACCTTAATTTATTATTAACATACCCAAGAAGTACATTTTTACCTCTATATACCAAAGCACATTTTTAAAGTGCCATTAACAAATGTGTCACTAGCCCTCCTTTTTCCAGCAAGGAGGGCCTGAGAGAGGCAGAAATATTTGTGACAAAAAATTAAAGCATTTAGAAAACTTCTTTGCTCTCTTATTTACATAGATGCATTATACCTTTCATGTAAAATTAAAGTGAGGACCAGATCATACCATATTGTTTGCAAAAATAAAAGGGACAACGTTGGTTGTTAAAATACAAGCATATGTCAACCAAACAGCATATATCATATGGGGCTATTCATGCTCCAAACATTTTATTTTGAGTTGGCCAAGTACATACACATTAAGCAGTCCTTTACTCAAGATGCTGGCCCTACATTTCCATCCATTTCAGAATTCACCAGGGAGCTAGAGATTCAGGATGGCTCACCTGTCTCACTTTTGACAGCCCTGCTTTTCTAGTTTTCTCTTTCCCTCTCCCTTAGACTGCTAATTATCTTCTTCCCCTCACCAGTGACTCCCACAGCTCCGTGGTTCCTTTAGCCCAGATGCCACAACCTACTGGCATAATCTTTTTCAGTTGGCCCACGGAGTATAATCTTAAAATTTGGTTTCATTGCCAGGCACTAAAAATCAAGAGATTTCACATGTTTACATTTCTAGGTTTCCTCTAAAAATGGAAGGATCTGGAAGTAAAGAACCCATGTTCCCTCATAGCAATCATTATCTGATACTGAGTAGTGGCTGTCCCCTTTCAATGGGGTCTGCTTTCTGTTTCACCACAGTCCTCATGACTCTCTATTACACACTCATGCCAAAGTAAAGGTGTCCTTTCCTATGAACTTTCTAATGCTGTTGCCTTTTTTTTCACACCCAGCCCATGTCCCTCATATATATCACCTGCCTGGCCCTGTAGGTCTATGAGTTTGAAACTGGTTTGTCAATCCTTAAGCTTTATCAGCTTCATCCAGTTCTCAGGGAGTGAAGAAAAGAGGGAAAGCACCTAAGTAGTGGTCTTCTCTCTGTGTGTTAGCTGAAAAAACCAGATCTCCCACACCACATCTCCCATCTTGTGGGCATCTACTACAGATTAGAATGCTACCATCTTCTCCTGTTAAACGGGTTTGTGCCCTATCCAGGAGGAGGAAGGGGGGAGGAGAAAAACCCCACCCAGCCACATAGAATCCCTCAATAGTCCAAATATGTGCAAACATACTGATAAAAATGTAATTTCCATCATTATGGAAGGAAGGAAGGAAGGAAGGAAGGAAGGAAGGAAGGAAGGAAGGAA